TGACTATCGGAAATTGAACAAGATGACGGTCAAGAATAAATACCCACTACCCAGGATTGATGACTTATTTGATCAATTGCGAGGAGCTATTGTATTCTCTAAGATTGATATTCGTTCGGGGTATTATCAATTGAAAGTTAAATGATATGATGTTGCAAAAACGGCCATTCGCACTAGATATGGTCATTATGAATTTTTAGTGATGCCTTTTGGTTTGACGAACGCTCCTGTAGCTTTCATGGATTTGATGAATCGGATGTTCTGACCATATTTGGATCAATTTGTGGTGGTTTTCATTGACGATATTCTGATCTATTCTCGTACTGAGGCAGATCATGACGAGCATTTGAAGATCGTTCTGCGGACTTTGAGAGAGCATCGTCTATATGCCAAACTAAGCAAGTGTGAGTTTTGGCTTCAAAAAGTGTCGTTTCTGGGGCATATTATTTCTGCGCGAGGTGTTCAGGTCGATCCCAGCAAGATAGAGGCTATTATGAATTGGAAACGACCTAAGAACGTATCTGAGATCCGCAGTTTCTTGGGCTTGGCTGGTTATTATCGACGTTTTGTTGAGGGCTTTTCGATCATTGCTTCTCATTTGACAAAGTTGTTAAGGAAGAATGTGCCGTTTGACTGGGGTGAGGCACAATAGGAGAGCTTTGAGAAATTAAAGACGGTTTTGACTCAAGCACCGATGTTGATTCAACCGGAGTCCGGGAAGGATTTTACAGTGTATAGTGATGCTTCACATTCAGGACTTGGTTGTGTTTTAATGCAGGAAAGTAAGGTGGTGGCTTATGCATCCCGTCAGCTGCGACCGCATGAGTGTAACTATCCTACTCACGATTTAGAGTTGACAGCAGTAATTTTTGCCTTGAAGATTTGGAGACACTATCTTTATGGAGAGAAGTGTTACATTTTCACGGATCATAAGAGCTTAAAGTATCTTCTGACCCAGAAGGAGCTTAATTTGAGACAGCGTCGCTGGTTAGAGCTTCTAAAGGATTATGATTGCGTGATTGATTATCACCCTGGTAAAGCTAACATTGTAGCGGATGCTTTGAGTCAAAAGACGGTATCGAAGTTGAGGTCTTTAATGGCCAAGATGAATTTATATGACGATGACACTTTGTTAGCATAATTGTAAGTTAAGCCGACCTTGGTTGATGAGATCAAGGCTAAGCAGCCCCTTGATAGCTCATTGCTTTCCATCTTTGAGCAAGTAGAGCAGGGGACAAACTCAGATTACGCAATTGATCAGGATGAAGTTTTATGCTTTAAAGGTAGATATTGTGTGCCTGATGATGCTGAGTTGAGGCAAACTATCCTTACTGAGGCTCATAGTAGTCCATATGCTATGCACCCCGGAGGAGATAAGATGTACCGGAATTTGAGAGAGAGGTATCATTTGATTGGGATGAAGAAAGACATATCTGATTTTGTGGCTATGTGTTTGACTTGTCAACAAGTTAAGGCAGAACATCAACATCCATCAGGTTTGTTACAGCCTATCAAGATTCCTGAATGGAAATGGAAGCGTATTACTATGGATTTTGTTACTGGCTTGCCTATGACTCATTCGAAAAAAGATTCAGTTTGGGTGATTGTTGACAGACTTACAAAGGCAGCTCACTTCATTCCTGTGCGAGTAAATTATACTTTGGACAAGCTGGCAAGATTGTATATTTCAGAGATTGTCAGATTGCATGGTGTTCCATTGTCTATTATTTCTGATCGAGATCCGAGATTTACTTCGAGATTTTGGAAGGCGTTACATACGACTTTGGGAACAAGATTGGATTATAGTACATCCTTTCATCCACAAACTGATGGTCAATATGAGAGAGTAATTCAGATTCTGGAGGATATGTTGCAGTGTTGCGTAATCAATTTTCATGGTAGTTGGGAGAACTTTTTACCGTTGGCTGAATTTGCTTACAATAACAGTTATCAGACCAGCATTCGTATGGCACCCTATGAAGCACTCTATGGGCGTAAATGTCGCACTCCGATCTGTTGGACTGAGTTGCGTGATAGGAAAACATTGGGACCTGAGTTAGTGCGTGAGACAGAGGACACAGTCAGATTAATCCGTGACCGTCTGAAAGAGGCATTTGATAGGCAGAAATCTTATGCAGATCAAAGGAGGAAGGATATACAGTTTGAGGTTGGAGATCAGGTCTTTATGAAAGTTTCACCCTGGAAGAAAGTATTGAGATTTAGGCGTAAGGGTAAATTGAGTCCAAGATTTATTGGACCATTTCGTATCTTAAAGAGGGTAGTACCTGTTGCATATCAGCTTGAGTTGCCTTTTGAGCTCAGTCGTATTCATGATGTCTTTCATGTATCAATGTTGAGGCGATATCATCCAGATCCAGATCACATCATTCAGGTTGAGGATGTAGACCTGAGACCTGATTTGTCATATGAGGAGGAGCCCATTCAGATCATAGAGAGAGATGAACGAGTTCTTCGGAATAGGCGTATTCCAATGGTCAAGGTTCAGTGGAGTAATCGAGGCCCCTCAGAAGCTACTTGGGAGACATTGAAGTCAATGGGGGCTCAATTTCCTCATCTATTTTCATAAGGTAAATTTCGAGGACGATATTTCTTGTAGAGGGGGAGAATTGTAACAACCCGATTTTCAAAATAATATTTAATTGAAATTGGAGGGTTTAATTGTGAAAATTGGCGAAAATTGGGACTAAATTGAAAGATTTTAAAACTTGGAGCTTGTTTTAAAGTTAAAGAAAATTCAAGCACCAAGCCCTGAATTTACCCTTGAAGTGTCGGCATGCATTTGTTATTTATGCGTGATTTCTGTTTTGAAAAACAGAAATCAATTTCACAAATCCTTCCTCACGCACACAACTTCCAAACTCGATTCCGACGCCGTCCGAATTCTGATCGTTGTTTTGAAACCACCGTTGTGTTCATCATCGAGCGAGGAACAAACCCTTCAAATTAATTGAAGCGAAACGCGGTCAAACGTCAGGAATTTACAGTCAAAGTATCGTCGTTTTTGTTAGCTCTATCGCCAGAAAAATCTTAAATTCACCGCCGATCGTTGCTCCGTTTACGACACCTCCTGCACCATCGTGTTCCTTGTGCCGTTTCGAGTCTGCCGGTGTCAACCTTGTTCGCCGTCGACGGCGGCACGTGAGGAGGTGGAGCAGTCAAAGATTAGGCCGAGTTGAAATCGAGCTCTCTGTCGTTCAAAAATTTTAACCGATCGTTGTAAGTATCTCGAAATCTCTCAAAATAATTTTTAGAAAATTTTCTGGGATTTTTAGGGCCCCGGAGGAGGCCTCACGCGCCACACGCGCCGTCGCAGGAAGAGTGGACGCTGCTGGAAACCGGTTTGACCGGTTTCGATCGGTTCGAACCGTTTTGACCGGTCTAAACCGGTTTGACCGGTCTGACCCGACCCGACCCGACCCTACCGTCCCGACTCGACCCGACTGTTGACCGTTGACTTCCTTTGACCAAAACTTAAAATGGCTTTGACCGAGCATTAAACGACCGTTAATCTTTTCCGAGTATACCTATCCTGATAGTTTTCGACGTGCCGAATCCGTTTCCGCTGTCCGTTTCGCCAAATTCGAACCCGAAGGCCTCCAAATCGATGGTCAAAGTGGTTGACTTTGACCAAGAATTTGAATTTTCGGAAAGTCATACTTTATGTATTTTGACATCCTGATTCCGATTCCGCAATCCGTTTGGCCAAATTGAGACTCGAAATACCCCAAATTGATAGTCAAACCCGAAAAATGCTTATATACTTAAGAAGTTTAGCTTTGAACAATTAAATAGGATTTGAGACTGATAAATTATTATTGTTTGAAGGTACAAGATACTCTCCGGATCGTACGACAGCTCGACCCAGTTCTTCTAGATCAGTTAAACCACGTATGCCAGTATTCACCCGTAAGACTCGTAAATTTTATGATTTTAGAGATCTATTTATATTACTCATAAGTAATATAGTGTTATTGTAAAATAGGTTCGAAAACTGTAGCAGAGCGTGGTGAAACCAGCAATCAGTAGATTTTCTATTTGAACCTATTGTTGAGGTGTGTTCCCTACTTATTACTGAACTGTTTTATTGGTTTTAATTTGTGGTACACCGAATTCATTAGTTATTGTTTTATAGATGCACCAATTTAATGTGACAATTTATGGAATATGGCTGCTATCTAATTTTTGTTTTGAAATGGTATATGATTACCATGTTTTTGGATTTATGGAATTTATGTCACGGTGCAATTGAATTTTGGAATTGAATTACGATGGAATAGTTCTGATCAAGCTAAATGGGCCTAATGTGACTCTTGAGGGCCCCAAGATATTTCATTAGGTCGGCTTTCCTTTGCTGTGTGCTTAGGGTAAGCTATATGGACTTATTGACTTGGGCTTAAGGATACAAGCTTCATAGCCTATCCTTAAGTCGGCTTTCTTTTTGCTATGTGCATAAAGTAAGCTATATGGAAAATAATTTTGGGAACTACTGATGGTGTACCGGAAAAGGGTTTAAACTATGATTTTCAAAAGTTAAACTCTTTTACGAATTTGTGAGATTTACTGGACTATGATTTGTACCTATTGTGATTTTATGGAAATGTTGGGACACACTGAGCCTAGCTCACCTTTCGAAAATGTTTTCCCCCTTTCAGATACTGTTGGTTAGATACATCTGTTCGAGCACTTGGAGGATCAACATATCTCTTGAAGTAAATCAGATTGTAATGTTTTTATTTTGCAAGTTGACTTTATTTTGGTGACATGGACCTTATTTTAAAATATCGAATTTTATATTGATGGAATAACGGTTTCGGAAAATGTCTTTAATAATCATAATGTGATTCACTAGACTTAGTCGAAACGCATAGGCCGGGTCTAGGGGGTTACTTAACGTTATCATTAAAACAGAGGAACAAAACAACATGGTAGAATTACACACTGTTGAAACTATGATAAGTTTCAACTTATTTTACAAGTTATACATACATACATACATACATACATACATACATATATATATATATATCATCATCTTTTTTCTTCAGATATTTGATGAAATTTGATCACTTAGGGACCCAAACCAGGGTCTCTTTGGTGAGAAAATGGCAAACGGGAACAGTTCCCGGCTTAACTTTAAGAATCTGAAAAGCCAAGTGATCAGGGCTCCAAGCAGATGTATCTTCATGACAGATAGCCAATAGTTTAGCCTTCGTCGACCCATCGGCGCTCACCAACGGAACCGTATAGGCCGTTGTTTTCTCGATCGAATGACATAAAAACACAGCATATGCATATTTCAGTTTGTGGCACACCATCTCCGTTTCACCAACCTTTTTGGCTACCCGGGCGATGGCAAACACTCGATTTTCGGTCTCCTCCTCCACGTAGTTCGACAAAACCTGGATGTTTTTTCCGAGTTTGGAAACGGTCCAGTCGATCAAGGATTCTAAAGACGTGGCGCAGTACCTCTGCTCACCTTTCATGGCTGGTATTTCGCAGTTTTGAATGGTTTGTTTGATTAGATCAGCCTCGTTGGAGTTTGGTTCCACTGAAAAATAGTTGAAGATTTCTGGGAATTTTCGGCTGGAAAAGGGTATTGATTGTGCAATTTGACGAGGCAAGAACGAAGCTTTGTTCATTGTCTTCAATATCTCGTTTACTTTCAACGTCCTACCCACGGGTAGTTGGTTTTCCAAGAAAAAAATGCCTTTGCCATCTGCTTCAGCCTCTTTATCTATAATATTCAGTTAGCAACTTACATTGTACTCGAACGTGTAAACTCTTTTAGTATTCGAACGTGTAGAACTTTTTTAGTTTTACATCGTTTAAGATCACTAGATTGACAGATATCAAAGGTTGAGATTAACTCTTTTTTTTAATGAATATTTTCTCATTATCTACAGTTAATCTCATCCAACTATACGTTTAGTATCTAAACTATCAACCATTTTAGTATCTAAACTTTTAATTTTTTCAAAATCATACCTAACATTTAATTTTTGTTTCGTGTCTCGCTGTTAAAAATTTAATGGGTGATTTGCACTTGAAACCTTTTTAATGGGTAAATTATATCATTCATCACTCACTATCTTTTCACTCATATTCTTATCACTAAAGTTTAAAATTTTTTATTTAGTTACTTAACTTTCAAATTACTCATAATTTAATCATTCCAACTTTTAAATTTATTTATTTTTAAATATAATAATAATAAAAAAATCATTTCACAAAGTATGAGCAATTTGAAAGTTGAGTAGTTAAATTGAAAATTTTTAAACTTCAATATCGGAATAGGAGTGAAAAGATAGTTAAGTGATGAATGATATAATTTACCCACAAAAATACAACGCTTTAACGGATGGCAAAAACTAAACGTCAAGTATAATTAAAAAAATAAAAATTTAGATACTAAAATTGATAGTTTAGATACTAACAACATAATATACCCTTTTACATAAAAACAAGATACACAGAAAGAATTACCAGATTTTTGAGGATTGGTAGTGGTACTTGGATTGATTTTATATACTGCATAGGAGCCGAGGAGGGAGTCAACGGTGTTGGTGTTGGAATGGAACATCTCGGCCAATGCTTTGGTGTTTCCCGCAGATGAAGGTGGGTTTATGAGAATCTGCAGGGACTTGGGCATTGGGGGTGTTCGGGAACACAGATTCCCAGTATTTTTGTGGCGGCAGAATGGCAGCATCAGCATTTCCTCCAATTGAAACCTGCATCCAAACATACCCACCTCCATCAACTACTAATTAAGTTCAAACCATGTCAATCCATTGTTAAAGGGATATTTTTATTTTTAGAGGTCTAAGGTTAGAACATTAGATTATTAATCAAATCGACCTGACCCAAGAAGCATTATCTTGACCGATAATCATATCTCATCCGCCCAAACTTGACCTAAATTTAGGAAAATTTCATTTGATTTAAAATCCAACCTAAATAGTTCCCACCAACACATAAGAAATCTTATTTTTTTCGATAAGTAGAGACCTAATTGAATTTTTTTTTTGAAAGAGAGTATTATAGCATATATCTCTAAATATATAAAAGAATATTACAATATTATTTCAGGTCGACTAAATTTTTTTAAAATAGACTCGATCTCACCCTTTACAAAATCTAACTTGATTCGAAATTAACTCTTTTTATAAAGAGTAACATTGTCGGATCAGATCAAATCAAAATCTATTAAGATGAAATTAACATCCCTATCCATGCATGATATTAATATATAATATATGAATAGCAGCGAAAACTATATTCAATTACATTGAGGAGTAGAACGATGAAGAAAAGGAAACGGAAGTGATCCATTGAAATTCTGTGGAATCTTGGGATGAAACTATCTCTCTATATATACAGGGTCCAATTTTTTTAGAAAGTCCTCGTATTAAACATAATTTGCGGATTTGGTCCTTTTATTATAATTGCTTATAAGGACGTGATTTGAGGCGTGGGAGAGATGGAGACGAAGCAGTAGTCAAAGAAAGAAGACTTCATTTACAGCCTTTTTAAAGAGTAAACTAAAATGACAACAGACAATTTGCCAATTGTCAATAAAAGGAGGGAAAAAATGTCCATTTCAGTCCCTATTCTTCCATCATACTAATAATTCAATTTGGATTTTTGAAGTGCGAAAAGTTGACTTGCAATGGAGGTTTAAGTAGTGGGACTGATCTTGAAAATGGATTCGGAGACTCTTATATATATATATAAAAGAGTGAATCACTAATGAAAGCCCAATAAAATAAGATATATGCATCAGCATGGGCAATGCGACGAATATATTGAATTAGTATGTTGGCGTGAATAGACAACGAACAACGTGTTAAAGAAACGATCACTGAACCGACAAAGAAACACAAAACGCGCATGAACATCTATCAAAGGACGTTGACTAGGGGTGTAAAATCGGGTAATCGTTCAGGTTTCAATCGGATCCTGGCAGGTCGGATAAAATCAGATACATGTCAAGTCAGGTAAATTTGACACCAGATCCAGATCGGGTTCAGTTCAGGTCAGGTCAAATCAATTCGGGTTATTTTCAGGTTGATTTGACACCAGATCCAGATCGGGTTCAGGTCAGGTCATTTTCAGTTCGGATCGTTGTCAGTTCAGGTCTAAAGCAGTTAAAAAGCATGTTAATTCAGGTTCGGATTGACTTCAGGCGGATCTCGTTCAGATCGGGTCACATCATTGGCAGATAAAATTCAGGTCTGATCTCTATCAGATACAAATTGAGTTCAAATCGGGTTAATTTTTATTTTTGGTTTAATTATTTTCGTCTTTCGCGAACGTTGAATTGCAATTTGTAATTGTATATGATTTAGAGTAAATTACTAAGAATATAACTAATCATGGTTCAATTTTATGAAAAATACAAATTTAAGAATTAAATTGAACAAATATGAAATTACAAATAAAAATTTAAATAAATTAAAAAACACACATTGATGAGGGATCAAATCGAAATAATTTTAAATTGTGAGGTTGAAATTAATACAAAAAAAAAACTAAATTATACCCATTTAAAAAGTTATGGGACAATTAAAAAATTGAATTAAGTAATAAGTATGGATCAATTTCATATGAAAATAAAATTTGGAGGATTAAATTAAACAAATATGAAATTACAAATAAAAATTTAAATAAATTAAACAACACACATTGATGGGATCAAATCTAAATAATTTTAAAATTGTGATGTTGAAATTAATACAAAAAAGTACTAAATTATACCCATTTAAAAAGTTATGGGCCAATTTAAAAATATAAATAAGTAATAAGTATGGGTCAATTTTAGATGCAAATAAAATTTGGAGGACTAAATTGAACAAATATTAAATTACAAATAAAAATTTAAATATATTAAACAACACAAAAGGGATCAAATCAAAATAATTTTAAATTTTGAGGTTAAAATTAATACAAAAAAGTACTAAATTATACCCATTTAAAAAGTTATGTGCCAATTTAAAAATAGAAATAAGTAATAAGTATGGGTCAATTTTAGATGCAAATAAAATTTGGAGGACTAAATTGAACAAATATGAAATTACAAATAAAATATTAAACAACACAAAAGGGATCAAATCAAAATAATTTTAAATTTTGAGGTTAAAATTAATACAAAAAAAGTACTAAATTATACCCATTTAAAAAGTTATGGGCCAATTTAAAAATAGAAATAAGTAATAAGTATGGGTTAATTTCAGGTGCAAATAAAATTTGGAGGACTAAATTGAACAAATATGAAATTACAAATTAAAATTTAAATATATTAAACAACACTAAAGGGATCAAATCAAAATAATTTTAAATTTTGAGGTTGAAATTAATACAAAAATGTACTAAAATATACTCATTTATAAAGCTATGAGCCAATTAATAAATATAAATAAGGAATAAGTTGAGAAAAAAATTAAAACAACTAATATATATATATATATATATAATATAAAGTATATGTATTATATATATAAACTATATAGTTTTTATATATATATATTATGTATAAAGTATAAATTATATATACCATGTATAAACTATAATACTATATAGTTTATATATGAATTATTGAACTATGTAGAAACTACATAGTTTATATATAAATTATATATAAACTATACAATTTATATTTATATATTATGTATAATTATAAATAATATATATTGTGTAAATTATATAGTTTATTGATATAAATTATATAGTTTATATATATATATATATATATATATATAGTATATATGGTTTAGGGTTTAGGGTTTATGGTTTAATATTTATGGTTTAGGGTTTATATTTATATTTATATTTATATAAACTACATACTATAATTTATATTTATATACTATATTTTATACTATTTATATAAACTATAGTTTATATTTATATACTATATATATATGAACTATAGTTTACATATGAACTATATATATAAATATATATATACACTAAGGTTGATATTTATATATGAACTATAGTTTACATATAAACTATATAGTTTATATACTAACTATAGTTTACATATAAACTATAGTTAATATTTATATATGAACTATAGTTTACATATGAACTATATATATAAACTATATAGTTTACACATGACCTATATATATATATATATATATATATACTATAGTTGATATTTATATACTATATAGTTTACATATGACCTATATATATATACTATAGTTTAGATTTATATATTATATAATATATATATAAACTATATATAATATATAGTATAATTTACATATGAACTATATATAAAAATCCTAAACCCTAGACTATACATTATATAGTTTATTAGTATATATAAACTATATAATATATATAGACTATATGGTATATATAAACTATACATTATATATAATTCATTAGTATATATAAACTATATATTATATAGTTCATTAGTATATATAACCTATATAGTATATGGTATATACAAACTATATATTATATAGTTCATTAGTATATATAAACTATATATTAATTTATTAATATAAACATATATATTAATTGAAAGAATTAAAAAAATATAAGGATCAAATTGAACAAATTTTAAATATGAAGCTTAAATTAATAAATCATAACATTAAATTTGGATTAAATTGAAAAAAAGTTGAAATATGAAGCTTAAATTAATATATTAAATTATTAAATTTGGACTAAATTGAATAAATTTAAAACTAAGAGACAATATTACAATATCAAATGAAGTTAAAAAACAAGCGGGTTTTCTCCCGCTTAAGCCTTGCAAACTGTGGCGCCAAAATCAACATCATTTACCGCCAAATAAACAAACCTAACAAAAATAAAAGGAAAACTGAAATGAATACTTGAAAGTAATTCCTAGAGGTAACCCAAGCAGGAGCTTTTACACAAGCAAGGGACAAACAAGAAGAGAAGAAAAGTGGAAAATTTCATCTGCAGCTGATGATTGTAGATGGTTATTTGCCACTGCCTTTGAAGAGGAGAAGATTCACGAATATTGATTCCATGGATGCTGCATCAGCTAAAGTTTGTCCCTTTCTTTTAATTTTCTTGATTTAATATTTGTATTTGGTGACCAGAATCTTATTTTAAGTGATGGATTGATCCGGGTTTTTACTCTGATTTTTTATTCATGTGATGGGTCTGGTTCTTATTGTTGTTTATTCAACTGGGTTTGTTTCCTTTTCTTGACGTTAGATGTCACTAGGTATTACGCATAATGATTTGGGAGAGAATTTAGGTTCTTTATATTTCTAGTTGAGCTCCAGTAAAGATAACTATTATTAGCTTAATTTTGATGGAATGAAGCTTCATCATGGTTTCTTTTGCAATCTTTATTGAAGAATACTTGCTCATCCATGAAAGTTGCTCAGTAGCTTCCGTTTTAGTTCTTTTTTTGGGTGAAATTGACGTTAAAAAGTTAATATAAGTACTTAGAAAAAAGGGAAAACTATTTCTTCCCCTTTTTTGTTTGAATCTTTGAGCGGCTTTCTGTAGTACCCCTACATAAGGAATATCGTGCATATGAAGTTGTTGAATCTTACTAAAGTCTAGCTTCCACCGCGTGTTGTGATTCCTCTGGTGTTTGCAGAAGAGATAAGTAGATGTATGGAGAGAACTCGGATTTATCATATTTGAATCTTCGTGATCCTGGTCTTAAGAAGAGCACATTTTAAGTACATTCTCGGACAATGTTTTATATTAGTCATATGGTTGTCATAAGTGTTAGAGACACAACTTTGGCTTTCCTTTATGCAATTATATTTTTTGAAACCGTTCATTAGAACTTTGATTGTAGACTGCTTAACTTGTGTGATATGTCGTACGCAGATTGCGGGATGTTGTTACTCAATTTATTTGTTTATTACTTCCTTGAATTGATTTTAGGCTAAGCTTGCTGCTGTAAATGAGAATCATGGAAGAGAAATTCGTGTATTTGAAACTGCAGGACCGTTGTCAACTCAAAATGAAGTGCCCAACACTGGTACGACCCGCCCCAAATAATATTGGTTAATGTAATAAGATCTACTTGTATAATTTTTAATGAAAAAATTTGTTTGACGTTTACCGAAATTTATTCTTGAATTTTGCCTAGGGATTTTAAAATGTCAGGATCGACCCTGCTCAAGCTCAACGTAGGGGAAGGCGTGCAATTGAGGTCTGTGCAACAATCGGTGTAATTTTTTACCCCAAAGTTCAGTCTATTTTTGTGTTGAATGTTGATGCCTTGTGTTTGAATATATTGCAGCTGTTGAAAAAGCTTGTTGGTCGTAGAATCCTCTACCATTCTTACTCCATGCAAGTTTATGGTCATGTA